ATTTGTTGTTTGTCTTTTGGATGGTGGCCATCCTAACTGGTGTGAGGTGATATCTCATTGTGGTTTTAATTTGCATTTCTCTGATGCTTAGTGATGTGGAGCATCTTTTCATGTGCCTGTTGGCCATCTGAATTTCTTCTTTGGAGAAGTGTCTGTTCAGCTCCTCTGCCCATTTTGTAATTGGATTATTTGCTTTTTGTTTGTTGAAGTGCATGAGCTCTTTATATATTTTGAGTGTCAATCCCTTATCAGATATGTCATTTATGAATATATTCTCCCATAATGTAGGATGCCTTTTTGTTCTACTGATGGTGTCCTTTGCTGTAGAGAAACTTTTTGGTTTGATATAGTCCCACTTGTTCATTTTTGCTTTTGTTTCCCTTGCCAAGGGAGATATGTTCATGAAGAAGTTGCTCATGTTTATGTCCAAGAAAGTTTTGCCTATATTTTCTTCTAAGAGTTTTATGGCTTCATGACTCAGATTCAGGTCTTTGATCCATTTGGAGTTTACTTTTGTGTATGGAGTTACGCAGTAATCCAGTTTCAGTCTCTTACATGTAGCTGTCCAGTTTTGCCAACTCCAGCTGTTGAAGTACCTGTCATTTCCCCATTGTATATCCATGGCTCTTTTATCATATTTTAATTGACCATATATGCTTGGGTTTATATCTGGACTCTCTATTTTGTTCCACTGGTCTGTGGGTCTGTTCTTGTGCCAGTACCAAATTGTCTTGATTACTGTGGCTTTGTAGTAGAGCTTGAAGTTGGGAAGTGAGATTCCCCCCTGCTTTATTCTTCCTTCTCAGGATCACTTTAGCTATTCAGGGTTCTTCTGCGGTTCCATATGAATTTTAGGACTATTTGTTCCAGTTCATTGAAGAATGCTGGTGGTATTTTGATAGGGATTGCATTGAATCTGTAGATTGCTTTAGACAGGATGGCCATTTTGTCAATATTAATTCTGCCTATCCAAGAGCATGGGATGAATTTGCATTTATTAGTGTCCTCTTTAATTTCTCTTTAGAGTGTCTTATAGTTTTCAGGGCATAGGTCTTTAATTTCCTTGGTTAGGTTTATTCCTAGGTATTTTATTCTTTTTGATGCAATTATAAATGGAATTGTTTTCCTGATTTCTCTTTCTGCTAGTTCATCATTAGTGTAGAGGAATGCAACAGATTTCTGTGTATTAATTTTGTATCCTGCAACTTTGTTGAATTCAGATATTAGTTCTAGTAGTTTTGGAGTGGAGTCTATAGGGTTTTTTATGTACAATATCATGTCATCTGCAAACAGTGACAGTTTGCCTTCTTCCTTACCAATCTGGAAGTCTTTTATTTCTTTGTGTTGTCTGATTTCCATGGCTAGGACCTACAGAACTATGTTGAATAAAAGTGGGGAGAGTGGGCATCCTTGTCTTGTTTCCAATCTTAAAGGAAAAGCTTTCAGCTTCTCACTGTTCAGTATGATGTTGGCTGTAGGTTTGTCATATATGGCCTTTCTTATGTTGAGGTACTTGCCCTCTATACCTATTTTGTTGAGAGTTTTTATCATGAATGGATGTTGAATTTTGTCGAATGCTTTTTCAGCATCTATAAAGGATTATCTATGGGGTTTTGTCCTTTTTGTTGATGTGGTTGATGATGTTGATGGATTTTCTAATGTACCATCCTTGCATCCCTGAGATGAATTCCACTTGGTCATGGTGTATGATCCTTTTGATATATTTTTTAATTTGGTTTGCTAATATTTTGTTGAGTATTTTTGCATCTATGTTCATCAGGGATATTGGTCTGTACTTTTCTTTTTTGTGGTGTCTTTGCCTGGTTTTGGTATTAGAGTGATGCTGGCTTCATAGAATGAGTTTGGAAGTATTCCCTCCTCTTCTATTTTTTGAAAAACTTTAAGGAGAATGGGTATTATGTCTTCTTTATATGTCTGATAAAATTCAGCAGTGAATCCATCTGGCCTGGGGGTTTTGTTCTTGGGTAGGTTTTTGATTACCACTTCAATTTCATTGCTGGTAATTGGTCTGTTTAGATTTTTGAGTATTCCCTCCTCTTCTATTTTTTGGAAAACTTTAAGGAGAATGGGTATTATGTCTTCTCTGTATGTCTGATAAAATTCCAAGGTAAATCCATCTGACCCGGGGCTTTTGTTCTTGGGCAGTTTTTTGATTACCACTTCAATTTCATTGCTGGTAATTGGTCTGTTTAGATTTTCTGTTTCTTCCTTGGTCAGTCTTGGAAGGTTGTATTTTTCTAGGAAGTTGTCCATTTCTTCTAAGCTACCCAGTTTGTAGGTATATAGATTTTCATAGTAGTCTCTAATAATTCTTTGTATTTCTGTGGTGTCCGTAGTTATTTTTCCTTTCTCATTTCTGATTCTGTTTATGTGTTTAGATTCTCTTTTTCTCTTAATAAGTCTGGCTAGAGGCTTATCTATTTTTATATTTTTTCAAAGAACCAGCTCTTGGTTTCATTAATTTTTTCTATTGTTTTACCTTTAATATTATTTTATGAAACTTTTTTTCATTGTCTTCTTATGGGGAAAAATGAAAAAGATTAAGGGTGGGCCTACAAGGAACATTCTAAGCCTCCCATTAAGACACTGAAGAACTGGGCTATCACCTTTCCAAAGCCGAGATTTAAAACTAGAACGTTACAGATGAATAGTGGACAGGAAGCCATTCCTTGAGTGTACCGTGATGAAAATTTCACCCGGGTGCCTGGGCTCTGTGTGACCCTGGACTTAGCAGCCCCACAGCCACCTTTCTCCCCAACTGAAGGAAGTGTGTGGGAATACAAGGGAGAGAGGATGGCACAGGAAGAACCTTAGGTCTCCTCTAACGCACAATGCCGGCAGCACTGTGGCAGAGTCTGCTCCGCGGCACGAGCAGGCCCTTGTGTCCCGTGTCACATCCCAGGCATGTGATTGGCGCCTGGAGCACCAGGACATCTCTGTGAGGTGCCTCTGAGGCTTCAGCACCTCTTGGAGGATGGACAGTGAAGGAGGGGCGGATCCAGGCCTCACCCACCGTGCAGTTGCCTGGGGGTCCAGGTACTCTTCTTCACCTCCCCCTGGCCCCCCAGCCCTTCCTCATCGCCTGCCCTGGCTGGATTTCAGGGTTGTCAGGAAGAGAAAACAGGATCCTACTGGGGGGCTACTTCTGTCATTTGGTTTTAAGTAAACCTCTAGGAGCAACCCTAATGATGAAAGTGATACAAACGTTTCTGGTTTTGTTTCCAGCAGGTGAGAAGTTTGCAAAGAAGCTGGAACGTGACAACAGCTCTCAGACGGGTGGCCTATCCTGCAGCCCCGACCCCTCTCCTCAGGGCCTCCATCCCCCGGGAGGCCCTGCCCAGCGGGGACACACAGAGCAGAGGAGGACATGGCCAACACGGTAGGACCTGGCCAGGAATCACAGCCCTTTACACATCCTGGACGCACCCACGGCCATACAACCAATGTGCCTCATTCTAGAGCCCAGGCCTCAGTCACTGTATTTAGAATAAAAAAGAGAAGACATGAATAAAAGATATAAAATAGAAATAAAGTTTAGTGGGGATCTTTAAGGATAACCAAGTCCAGGGCCTTTGTCTAGGGAACCACAGTCTCCGTCTTGTCCAGACACAACTGACGGCCGAATCGCTGGGTGGCTTGGCCTCGTCGCCGTGCCTTTGACTTTGGGGCTTATGGAACGTCGCAGCAGCAGCAGCCTCGGGACGTGTCTGGACTGTAACTGCCGTCCCTGGGAAGCTCTTGGCCTGTAACTAACATGTGAGTCTCTTGTCCTTTTTCAGGAGAAGTGGGAACAGGTCACCATCAGTCCAGGCTGGATGGAAACTCCTCATTCCTGAAATAAAACATTCACCTACACACCTTTGTCTAGGGGTAGACATGGACTGACACTGACCAAAGGGCCCTATCAGGGGCTCATGTGGGGGTGGCAGGTGGTTGGGGGGGAACGGGGCAGGGCATGGGGGCAGGGGTCTTTAGGCTGGGCCACTCAGAGGCGCCACACTGGGTCCCAGACAGGCCAGACTCCGCCAGGGCCCACAGGCGAGAGGAAGGGGCAGCGCCCGGGAGGGCCGCCCAGTCTGCTCCCGCAGGGACTGAAGTGCGGATCAGCGGGCAATGTTCTGTGCCCGCACTTACCCAGGTCCCAGAGCCCCTCCCAGGCGAGGAGGCAGCAGGTGGATTCTGGACGCGCTTGCTGGGAGGACCAGGGCTTGTGCAGCCCTCGCTGGGGCTGAGTGGGGGCGGGAGGGCGCAGCAACTGCACCTTGGCAGCCGGCTGAGGCGGGAGGGGGACCAGGACGAGACAAACCAGACGTCGGTCTCCCCATCTCACTCTAGGTTTGAACCCCTGGGAGGTCATGTTAGGGCCTAACATAGGTCTGGGGGCTTGTCTGGGGGAAGGACGGTGGCCCTCGGCACTCTCTCTGGACGGGAAGGATGCCGGCAGCCGGAGCTGGGCTAAGTCGGGGTGCAGAATCGGAGGGGCACAAACAAGGCCCCTGTTTCTACTATTTCTGGGGCGGGATTTGCTCTGTTCCCTTGTGAGCAAGCCTGCACCTCAACCGCATGCACCACTCACGCCTCTGGGATTTGCTGAGTGGGACGCGGGCTCCATGGACTCAAAGGGCAGGAACTGCAGCTGCGCTCAGTGGGTCGCTGAAATCTAAGAGATAACAGACAGCTGGCCCAGCCCAGGCCTTGTTTAACTTCAGGGAAGGTGTGAGCAAACGGGTCAGGGGCGGGCTGGGCTGTGGGAGTGGGCGCGGAGCCCCTCCCAGGGCAGGTACGCCTCCCAGCAGGGACTCGTGACTCACAGCGGGCGGGGCCAGGGGACTAGCCTCTCTGTCTGGGGAGAGCAAAATCCTTACATTTTATTTTTTTAAGTACAGTATTTTTTCAGTTATAAAAGTTAACTGTGCTCACTCTAAAAGCATTTCAGTGACTAGGAAAGCAGAATGGAAGGAAAACAATAATGTAACTCACCCTCTTAGCTCCCAGTGACGCTGGGCACATGTCCTCTTTTTCTCCTGAGTCATTTGTATCTTTGGTTATTTTGTTCTTTTTAATGTAACACTGTAGCAGGCAGATTCCCCAGGTTATTAAAAATTCCACAGAAACACACTAGTGATGACTGTTTGATATTTTACCATGTAGCTGATCAACATTTGTTAATGATTTTTCCATTATTGGTAATTTGGGCTGTTTGCAGTTTTTTACAAATACTAAAATTTGTTTTGATAAACATCTTCATAAAATGATTTTTCTGTGTTTAGGATTTTTTCTCTGGGGCATCCCTGAGTGTAGATTTACTGGGGCAGTGTTTTCTTTTTAGGACCCTTGATACAAAGTATTATGTTGATTCCCACAAAGGTGATGCCTATGTCCACTTACTATGGATCTAAGTGTCCATTTCACCTAATTTTGAACAGCACTGTACCTTCTGATTAAAAGCCAAAATCTGACAATTTGACTGGCTTGAACATTGTTACAGTTATTTTGAATAATTTCTTGAATTACTAATTATTTTTCTTATCTTTCCTATAATTTTCAGGCACTTAGGTCTTGAAATTTTAAAACCTTTATCCATCTTATACACAATCCACATTTTATAGTTTGAAATTTTTATATCCAAAGTTTAAAATATTTTACATAGTCAAATTTGCTTTCTAGCTATATACGTTATGTACATTTAGATGATTTCTTTACATTGTCACAAGGCCTAGAAATACCTAAACCTTCTTGGCATCAGTTAAATATTTACTGTCATTTTCTTTAATTCACATAAAGAGTAGCTGCTACAGTAACTGCTTTGGTTTTGGTCAAGAGATCAAAGTTGGCTGTCGCAGTTTCCTTCCCATTTCATGTGCCATCATCATCTGCTATCCTTTCAGCTGGATGTAATTATTTTCCTGACAGGGTGACCCAAAGCTTGACATCTACAGGACATGAGTCCCTATGTGGTCTTGTGCTGACGGGGCTGCTGCTGTTTTCCGTCGACCAGGACTGCTGGGCAAGAAAACACCAACAGAAACCCAGCCTCCCTCCGGCTGCAAGCTCAGCTCCCGGTCCCCATGGTGTGGCTGCAGCACAATCTCCCTTGGTGATCAGGACAGTCCCTCTGGTCCGTTCTCTACCTCCGCCTGCTGGTTCAGTGGCCTGAAGAAACCAGAAGGGCAGCCTCCACAGCCAACTCAGTCGGGACCCTAGAGCGTGTTTCCAAGTGACAGCCAGCCTCTCTTGCACACTATCACTCTGACCACTAAGGCCACACTCATGGGGATGGCAAGCAAGATTTCTCCCAAGTTACATCCTTAAATCATAAGAAAAACCACACCTGCTTTATTGCTTGGTTTCTGGATGTGCACTTTGGCTGAGAAGGAACCATATGTGTCTCTGGTTTAAGGCGAAGGCAAACTGTAGTCCACCAGCTGCCTGCTGAGCAGGCGATTCCACCATGCTATCAGCTAACAGCTCCTGGGTGATGGAGCCTGCGGAAAGACCACCGAATTACTTGGACATTGTTATATTTCCTTGCCCTAAAATGGATTGTGTTGGACCCATATACTAGATCATGAGGTCATAAACTCATGAGAGGTGCTCCCTGCGTCCACTGCAGGCTCAGAGGAGGGGCGTGTCCACACCACACCAGACCATGTGACTCTGCCCCTTCACAGCAGAAGGGATGCCATGGAATCATCTTGCCACCAGGCTGCTGGGTGCTGCTCCTGGGGAATGATGCCATGTTCAGACTCACATGCCAACCTCTGCTGTTGGCAGGATGGGAACTCAGAAATGGAATCAGCTACAGTGAGGGGCTCAGAACAGCCAGAATAAGGGGAAACTCTTCATATTGATCCTATGTCACCATTGTCACTTTTTACATGGACAAATTATATGTGGGCAGGAAAAAGAAAACTGATGTATCTATATTTATGAGATTTTAAGTCAGCCCTGGTTGGCACCTTAATTACAGCCTGTAGAGACTCTGACCTAAAAGTCTTGGCTAAGCTGTAACCAAGTATCTGACCCACAGAAACTGTGAGATATAAATGTTTGTTGTTTAAAAGCACTGAGTTTCGGGGTCATTTGTCAGATGGCAACAGAGAACTAATACAAATCTGTGCTGTGTTTCTCTTACTGGAACTTCCCAGAGATACCCGTCAATGCCAATTTCTGTCAAAATACTACACAAGCCATTGCAACTTCTGGGCCCAAGTGGGACGGCATCTTATATTGCAGCCTGGCCCGACTTCTGCAGAGCCATTTATTACTCTGTATTCCACTGCAGACTTTACTGACAGCGTGGTACATGAGCCAGGATGATGTGTCAAATGCAGTATGTGTAAGCTCCAAACTCCAAAGAGGCCCATAAATACTTATTGGGGTGAATGGTTCAATGTGCAGACATTTGTTTTTCCCTTGAGAGAGAATATTTCCATTGCCCAGGTCTGCACACCTCACTTACAGGCCAGGTCCCTGAACTTCTGCAGTTGCCCTCTCTGACACACACCTGCTTTACTAGGTGTCTTCTTTCCTGTTTTATGATCCAATTAACATAACATCACAGCATGAATGTAATGGGACTGCAGGATGTTTAACAAAACATTCAGATTCCTCCAGAGGTGGGACAGACCCCTGAGCCCACGCCATAGAGGTGCATTGCTCCTGTCATGCAAAGGCAAAATACTGCTCATTATCCTTTCTGAAAGGATTGGGAGAAAATCGAACATTTCCTCGGTTAATAGCTGCACATCAAATGCCAGAGAGTTTGCTCCAGGGCTGACAGCACCCAGGATCCAAGATGCAGCCATCATCAGTCGATTAAATGCGTGATGCTCGGAACACAGGGCTTGCTGGGTGACAGTCTGTGGCCAGATCTTGCCTGTGTCTGTTTTTGTACAACCTGCAAACCAGGAATTGTTTCCATATCTTTTTAAGGGTTGTGAAAATAAAATAAAGAAAATGAGATGGAGACCAAATGTGGCCCACGGAGCCAGACACATCCACTCCTGGGTCCTTCAAGTCCTCACTTGGACTGTGGCATTGGTTTGATTCACTGTCTTGGTGAGAGGGACTTCACCTAACATCCCTCACGCCAGGGACCAGAGAAGCACTGTATGCTTTACATTCCAGGCCTGGGGTGGGGACCCCCAAGGGGCCCACAGTGAGACAGACTTGGGCCAGCCCTCCGTCTCACACCTGAAACCCACAGGCTCCCTCTTTGCTGAACCACGTGGGGCTTGGGTCTCTGAGGATTAGTGTCAGGTCAGAGCTAATATGTAATGACCTTCAGAACACCTCGATATATTCCTTTCTCCAGCACACAGTCACCTGCTTCTATCAGTTTCTTAGGACTGCTGTAACCAAGTACCACAAACTGAATTTACAGCAGAAATGTATTGTCTCACAGTCTCGGGGCTGGACGTCTGTGATCAAGGCATCAGCTGGGCTGCTTCCTGCTGCAGCTGAGCAGAGAACCTGCCCCAGGGCAGCCCCGGCCTTTCTGTTGGCTTGCAGATGGTATTGTCCCTGCATCTGCACATTGTCTTGCCTCTCTGTACATCTGTGTCTGAATGTCCCCTTTTAATAAGGACACCAGTCCTACTGGATTTGGGTCTGCCCTAATGACCTCACCTGAACTTGGTCATCTGCAAAGATCCTTTTGCCACATTCACAGGTACTGGGGGTGAGGGCTGCAGCATCTTATTGGGGCCCCAACACAGGTCAACCCATAGCACTGGTAAATGGCCGAGGTCCTTCTCAGGAAGGCTTTGGGGAAGACTCATCCTAAGCACCTGAGGCCTTGGTGCAGCTCGTCCTCGGAGGGATCTCCTCCACTCTTGCTGAGGCCCTCTGGTCCCACATAACTCTGGCCTGAGAGGCAGGAGGAAGCACAGGGTCTGTGAAGGATGCTGGTGGCCCCACACCAGGGCATTTCTAAATGGTGGGAGCACCCTCTGGGCACTCTGGGGTGGCAGGGAGGGTGCATACAATACATCCACTCCACAGCCACCCCAACACTGAAGCCTCCCTGAGCCCAGGCCCCCTCTTCTGCTGCAGCACTGGGCTTCCCACACCTGGTGTGTAGGTGCAGCTCCTGGGAACTTTCTGGAATGCAGGTTTGACATCCCGAAGTCTTGGAGGGAGCCTGTCTATCAAGGCCCCAGGGATGGGTGCTGTAACCAGAGGCCACCTTCCAGCCCAGGGCTTCGTCACCCTCAAGGTGGCCACAACCTCCGTGTGCTTGTTTAGGAGCACACCTGAACCCACACCTGAGTCCTGCCAAGGATGTCGGGCCTCTGGGTGTGGCTCTACATTCTCACCTCCAACCCCCGGCTCCTGCCAAGGCGGCCCTGCAGCTCTTTGAGGGTGCCAGGCCCTGCCCGTCCGGCCACAAGGGGCCTAACCTACGCACCTGGCAGCTGTGCAGTGCTAAGCTGAGAACAGCTCATAATGTGCCTGCATCCTGGGCCAGTGGGGGGGTGGCCGGTGGTCAGCAGAGGCTCCCGTGGGGTGAGGGCTGCTCCACATCCCAGGGGGGACGGTCATTCGTGCCTGTGGAGAAAGCTCAGGGGGGTGGTTTCAAGATCCCCAGCCTCACATTTGTGCCCAAATGTCCCAATCCCATCTCTAATTTCACTCTTTCCTCACCACAGCCGAGGTCCTGGAGTAAAGAAGTGGAAGTGGCAAACATTGACTGTGCGGCAAACCTTGGATTGGGCCTTGGCCTGACCCGCAGCGCTCCGCCCTGCAGACCTCCGAGCTAAGCAGAGAAACCCCCTCCCATTGTCCTGCTCTTGGGTGGGCGCCCTCAAGCTTCGAGTCTCCTTTCCAAGTGTTGTGAAGGTCTCTCAGAAGAAACCAGTGGGCCCCCGACCTTTATCACATGACTGTCCCCGCAGAAGCTACACGCCTCCCACGGGCCCTCCCAGGGGCCCTGCCTCACACCCACTTCATTTCACGTCACTGTCTTGTTGAGAAGCTGTGACACCCACCGACCAAGCCGAGAGTCAGAACCCTGGCTTCCTGGACCAGGAGACATGCGCGAAGAGCCAGCCTCAGCAGCTTATGTTGAGGGTCTGTTGACGGGTCACAGGGGTGGCGATTTCTGTATCCGTTGGAGGCCTGGCAGGAAACAGGCCCATCACTCTTGTGCAGGCCTGTTATTTCAAGGCTCGTCTTGGGTGGGTCCCCCAGACTTGGATTCTCAAATAGCTGGAAACCACTTCGTGTTCACCTTTAAAGGACCACCCGGGGGCCTCACCTGCTCCTTCCCCGAATCCCTGCCGCAGGGGAGCTGTGAGCCATTGTTGACACACTGTACCTTTCACGGGCCATCTCTTGTGGGCTGTGAATTACTTGCTGAGTGTGATGTTGACATTAGCAGGGTGACACAGTCAAGCTAGACCAGGTCATGACCCAGGAGACTCCCAGGAGTAAGAGAGGTAATTTCTGAATCTCAAATCCCATAACCAGGATGACTATGCGACTAGCACTTTCCTCTATCAGTAAATGTGTCAATCTGTGTGGCCCCGGTGTGGACACACCTTCTAATCAGTGGGGTATTTGGAATGGAGGATTGCAGGACCCTCCTTAGGCAAATGTTATCTCACTCTCTAGGCAAACAGAGCCTGCGGATAAAATCACGGGCCTGAACGGGTTCTCATTCCTGACTCGTGGTCTCCCTTGGGCAGACAGGAGGAAGGTCACAGCTGCCATGGAGAGCAAGGCCATCTGCGTCCTGGTCATGGTCGTCATGCTGGCCCTCGGCACCCTGGCACAGGGCCGCGACGGTGAGGCCGCCCCCCGCTTCCCGGTGGGCGCACGGGTGGGGGCCAGGCTCTGTAGGAGTCGCTGCTTCACAGTGTGGATTTTTGAGCCAAGCTGTTTTGTGCCAGGCATTGCTCTAGGGCCTTGGATGTTCTGGAAGGCAAAAAGGTGGTGAAGAGCAGGGTGAAGGGCCAGAGAGCTCTCGGGCATGTGTGAGCAGGCAGAGTCCTGGGCCAGCCGCTCACTGTCCTCCTGGGTCTCAGCCCCCAGAGAGCGATCCCCAGGTGGGCGTGAGAGCAGCTCTTCCAGGGGCTGGACTGCCTCGGGGTGCACACACAGGTCCGAGGGCCTGTCCACGGTGGGCATGCCCCAAGGGCTCTCCCTACTATTCGAGCGGCCCATTGTGCATGTGTCACCCAGTGCCTGATGGAGGAGGGTGCTGTTGCCGCTGTGCAGGGTCTGTGCATGGCTCCGAATGGGCTCAGTCATCTGCCTTACACGGCTGTCATGGTAGCATGATGATGTTCATAAGAAGTGCTTCACAAGCTGCAAAGTGCTGAATAAACATCACTTAGTTTTGTTAGATACAATTTTAAAGGGAGAGGGATGGGAAGAGGATTTTCCAAAGTTATCAAAACAAGGATTCTCACAGAAGTGGAAGGTGAGATGCCACCTCTCCCACCTCCCCTCCAGGCCCCAGGCTGGCCCGGGTCCCCTCCCTGGAGGCCAGGACAGCCCATTCACCACAGCCCCTGCCCTCGGGCCCAGGACTCAGCCTTCTCTGCTGGTCAGCCACAGTCAGCGGTCCTGTCCCAACAGGGGCCAGAAAACCCCAATGACATGCGTAGCCCTGAATGGGAATCATGTCTGCTCAGTTTCACTGTGGGACAGTAACCGGGTGGCATATGGAATTCTGTTATGAAAGAACCCCTGGAAATCTGTAATTCCCATTTAGGAATCCCAGCAGGGAGGGGGTCTGGTACCCGGCAAGCCCCCACCCCACCCAGGGCTGCGGGCGACCATGCAGGAGAAGGACAGAACTATGGTCCCAGTCCACACACAGCCCCTCCTGTCCTGCACAGCTGCCCTGAGGCAGAGGGGGGCCAGACCCCAGGAGGCTTACACCACCAGAGGCCACCCAGCCACTGGCAGATGGATCTAGATCTTCCCAGCAAAGCCGCAAAGCCCTTTCTTCAAAGAAAGCCTGGGGCGTTTCTCTCAGGTGTGAAAACAGAAGCCTGCCAGGACTCCTGGCTCGCTCCCAGGCCTCGCTGGGTCTGACACAGTGTGGGTTCAACAGCGCGGGGGCCTGCGCTCTGGGTCTGGACAAAAAGCACCCACATCTGCCTGCCTCTGGACGGGCTGTCTATTCCAGAGAGCCTGAAGCTGAGGCCAAGGCCCCCTGTGCCCCCGGGGCTTTCCGGCTCTCCTCCCCCCTGCGCCTCACTCTCCAGGCTGCCAGGCCTCACTCCTGGGCCTCTGAACCCAGGAACAGGCTCTGACCCAGAGGTGGGTCTGCCCCCACACAGTCAGGTCTCTCTTCCGAGCCCTGGCAATGGCACCTGTCATGGGCACCTACGGGTGGAGCTCTCACTTCCCTGGGCCCCAGGCCAAGACAGAGATAGGGAACGGGCTCCCCACTGTTGTTATCTGCCTCAATGGGTTGATGAGCACCAAACAGTGAGCGCTGGGCTCACACTCTGCCCAGGGTCAGACCCTACAGATCTCGTGCCTAGATTGTGTGGGGGTAGCTGCTAGCTGGCCTGGCTCCCGTCTCCCCCATGTCTTCCTGCTTACGGTTGCTCTCACCCCTCCCCTGGTCAAAGCTGTTGAGTGGCTCCCTTTGCTCTTAGGCTGAACTTGTCCACCCCAGCTTGGGCCTGGCTCTTCCCAGATGCCCCCATCCCAGCCTCTGCATCTCACCAGCAAATGGACTTCCACCTCTGAGAATACACCTTGCTTTCTATCTTTACTGCCTTTGAACATGCTGCCCCCTCTGCTTGTAACTAACACCCATTGCCTCATCCTCAACTGGTCAGCCTCCTCTTACAAGAAGCCCTCCTTGCTTTTTGTCACTTATTCTTCCTGTGCTTGTCCTCAGCACCCTGGGATAGTCACAGTGCACTGTTTTGAACATTGCTGATTTTCTCCTCCATTAGACTCTTAGCTTCTTAACAGCCATTTTGCTATGTTTAATTTCTGGGTCTCCATCACCCAGCACAGGGCCTGCCATGAGCTCAACCCCTGAAGGAACTTCCCTGTCTATTTTTGTTGTGCTAGCTCTTGTTTCTAGCACACAGAAGTGGTGCTCAATAGGTACTTACCAATCGAGTGAATAAAGTTTGATCATTGTGGAAATTAATTAGTGAAAGAACAAGTTATCTAGGTAGGTGCAAAGTTACAAACCCTGGGCGCCTTGCATTCTCCTGAGCTGGGGTGCTCTCACATTGGGAAATGAGGGTGGTGCCTCCCTCTTGCATCCCCAGTGTGGGTGTACGTCAGCAGCGCCAGCTGGTGACTGATTTAACAGGAGAAGAAGCGGGGCTGGGCGTGCCTGTGACGATGAGGCATTCTGCCCATGACTTACCCTCACCTCCTGCCCCGGACTCCCCTAGAGAGTTGCACCGTCGCTCCCCGCGAAAGAGCCAACTGTGGCTATTCCGGCATCACGCCTGCGGTGTGCAAGGCTAAAGGCTGCTGCTTCGACAACACTGTCTCTGGAGTCCCGTGGTGCTTCCGGCCCGTGTCTGCCAATAAGGCTCCAGAAGAAGGTAGGGCCACTGCAAGGCTGTGGGGTCTGGAGATGTAGAATTAGCCAGGGACACCCACATGGGTCTGCATCGCCAGCTGGGTTTTTACCCAGCATAACGGCCACAGGGTGACGGTGAAGAAGAGGGCTGCACCAAGCTGAAATCAGGTCCGCGGTTGCAGACAGGACTGAGGGCTGTGCGGCGAGGAGCCCTGTTCTTCCTGGCTTGTCACATCTCTGGTGGAAAGTCTGCAGAGTCCCCTTTGGTGACACCTCTTGGCTTGCAGGGAGAGGGTGAAATGGCAGTGAAGATATGAAGACAGCCCATGCTTTCTAAAGCATCTTCCCCTGCTTTCAAATCAAATTCTCTGTAATTATTTAAAAGTAAAGGAAAATGCCTACTCTCACTCATGCGCTTCTTCTCCCCCCTTTAGAGGAGTGCCTGTTTTAGATACTCTTCCAGAGGGGATCGCATCAAGAGCTGGAGCCTGCGGCCAGAAGCTCAGTGCACACCTGCCCGAGGCTGGGGTTCCTCTGTGTCTGCGTCTCAGCTCGCTGCATGGGGTATGGCTCTGGCTCCTTGTCCTCACAATTGGCCTAAAAATTAAAAGAGAATAATGTCAGTTGGTGCTTCTAGTTCGGTTTTGTTTTGTTTTTTAATTATAAACGGTGTTCTTTTCTTTGAAAGAGGAGTGCAATGCTTCACTCCCCAGCTTCCCATCAGGGATTGATTACACATAAATTCCCACTACCCCAGGGGCAGATGAGTGGTGGCAGTGTTAAGCTGACCCAGAAGATATTAGCCAGGGTGTTGGAGGCCATTGGGTTGCAAAGTGCGGCTCAAGCCTTCTCCCCACATTCCCAGAGAGATGGGCTTCCACCTGTGCCATCTCGGAGCAGGCCTGTTTCCCAAATACCTGCCATCCATTCCTTCCTTCCTTTCTCAGCTGATTTCCACTCTATGAAGAATAGTGAAAGTTTTCCCTTTCCCCATGCCTCTTGCAGCCAAAGGTGGCCATGTGCCTCTATTCTGGTCCATGGGGCAGAGAAGGGTGTCTGCTTGGAGGCTCCAGGGAGAGACTTTTCCTCTTTGGTGAAAGAAGAGCTACCTCCAGCTGCCCTGGCTGGGTCCAGCAGCCTGCCTTTGGCTGCTGTGTGGTACAAGGGTGTGATAGGGTGCTTCAGGCAGCTATTCTGTGATAATGAGGAAAAATCAGAGAACTGGAGCCTCGACATCCTTGAGCTACTGATCTGACCCCAGCACCACCCACCTCCAGACTTAATGTTAAGTAAACCCAAATGTCCTTATGGGGTGAACTACTACTAGTTCCCTGACAAAACATACCAAGGCCCACATCGTCCTTGCACCACAAAGCTATGAGCCGATGGCCCAGCTCCCAGGACCAAACTCTTGCCCAAGTTCAGAGTCCTTAGGCTGAGTCCTCCAGGCTGGGCCTTGATCTGTCAAAGGAATGGAGGCCATCATCCCCTCTACCACGCCTGGCACTTCACCCTGACTTCTTGCCCGGCCATGCATCCCTCTCAGGCTCAACCTCAGGAGGCAGTGGCAGCAAAGGCAGGTGCATGTGGGAGATTAAAAGGCACCTCTCCACGATTTCAAAACCAACTCCATTGCAAGTGACAGCTCATCCTCGTCTCCATCCCCACTTTGAAACTGAGGAAAGTGGTGCCCAGAAGTGACTAAGAACTCACCCGCGTGAGCAGACACACAGGTCAGGCTGGCCCGGCAGACCCTGGCGACTAGAGGTCCTCCCAACTGGAAGCTGACTAATGATTCCAAGGGTGCCATCAAGTGAACGCTGAGAGTGGGTCAGGGGAAACCCCCCATTGTCCTTCCCATGCCACACGTGCCCTGTGGTGTGGGTGAGGCATTGCCCCTCTCACCTGGGAGCCAAGTGCACTAGGTGATGTGGTCTGGGATCCTCGAGGCAGAGGGTGGGGGCACCTCGGCTTGAAGTCTTC